TGAGCAAAAGGAGGAGTGCTGAGCCAGCAGGAAGGCATAACTGGTTAGCAGGAGCTCTCCAACAAAATGTCTCTCTGAGTCTTCCCACTTGGTCTAGCCACAAAGCTGCAGGAAAGATTTACCTAGATTATTCCTTGAATACTTAGTTCATTTCTAGTCCTTACCAATTTTTATCAGTTTCTGTGTGTGGGAAGTTGTGTTTATAAATCATCTCATGCACCAGTTAGGTGACCTTAACACTCCCAAAAGGGAGCTCAGCTCTGAAGATGGCTAGAAAGCTTCATGGAAGGGATATCTAAAAGAAATGGGTATGAAGAGATGGTGAAAACTTGCTTTCTCAAGTGCCAGTAATAGCGCTTTCCCTTAGTGCGAAAGTGCAAGGTGGTAATTAGAGAGACAAATTAACATTCCTCCTGAGAACATGAAGTCTAAAAAGGGCTCTCCTTATGAAGTTCCTGTAATTAAAGATGACTTGGTGTAGTTAGATTATTCATTTCTGAGGATGTGATGTGAATGGCTAGTGTTCATCTCATCAGACTGGTGACTGGGTACCCACTGGCTTTTCACTGTATGTGCATGGGTATTACAACAGGAGGATCTCTCCACCAGAAGGCACGTATATCATCTCTGTATCAGATTTATGCTCTGCTGTGTGTGTATCTTGTGTAATCCAGAAAACAGTTTTGCAGGTTGTATTGCAAGGTAATTTGGAATTGCACTTGGTTTTTCTCTTCTGGTTCTTTATCAGGGGATGTCTGAAGCCCATGTGACCCTTGTATACGAAAACTAAGAAAGCTATTCTCCAGGCTTGAATTTCTTCAGTCTTGCTGAGAAGTGATGCCAAAGTGTGTGTACGCAACCTGCGCTACTTTAAATCCTACTGTCGTGCCTGTAGGAATACATAGAAATCATGGCATGCTGCTCTTCCGTCTTGTGTCATGTAACTCTTCAAAGAGCTGCTATTGCGTACCGTGTCTCTCGTGTGTTTCTGTGGGTGTGCACCAGTAAAGACAGTGTTAATCTCAGGAGCTCAGTGTTTTCTTGACTTAACGTCTGTGGGTTTCCTAAAACTTACCAAAATGACTGAGTAGCCAAGTGGCTTTTTAAATGCAGTACTGAGCAGGAGGAGCAACTTTTTAAATGGCCCGTAAGAGCTTGATTGATTTTTGGGTTTTATTATTATTTATTTATTTTAAAAAAAGATTTTTATTAAAAAACACTAGGGAGAAAGCAGGGGAGAGATGAGGGGATAGGAGACTGACAATGATAGGTTTGGGAGGAAGAACTGAGGACGGGACAATGTGGATTCAAGAGGAGAGAGATGTGTGTGCACTAGGGAGGGGAGTGCGACAGAAGCAAGAATAGCAGAAGTGGAGATAACTTTCCTATAGAAGCGTTGAAAATGCGTTGGAGTATCTTCCAGAGGGTGCTAGGGTGGAAAAAAGCTGTGTCATTCAGGAATGCTGTTCTTATATCCGCTGCGTGACAGAAATGCAGGCTTCCCCATTGGGTGATGATTTTGTCATCCTGTACTGGGAGATGGATCTGCTGTATCTGAGGCTCCAGAGCCTCCCGGGGTTTGTGCAAGAAGCCATGTGATTCATCCTGACCCCAAGGACTTACGCCGTTGGGTTAAGATGAGTTGATCTATTTTTACTTTAAAAGAATGTGCTTAAATAGAAGGAACCCCTCTGTTTCCCTTTAATCAAATAAAAGGTAGTTAAAAACTAGTGCAAATCTTTAAATCTGCTTTAAACAATAGCAATTTATACCAGCGTGTGTAGGCAGGGATTTGAAACAACTGTGGGATTTAGATGAAGCCAAATGCAAACAAAACTGAACAGCAGTGGTTCTCTCCGCTTCCCCCACCGGCAGTTTCCCCACTGCCTGCCCTTCAGCTCTGCCCCTCCTCAGTCCCAGCATGGGTCTGGGCAGCTGCCCCCAGTCTGGGCTTTGGGGGTGGTTTCCTTCCCTCTCTACCTTCATAGAAAGGGGAACTGCCCCAAAACTGTACAGCTTGCTCCTAGGAGAAAGAACGGCTGTGTAAGTGGCTCTTGCTAGCACAGGATGTGAATGCAAAGCTGGCTTTTGCTGGACAGTAACGGAATGATTAATGCTTTATGTGTAGTTTCCAGAGAATGTGGGATACGCACATCCAGAGGAATTTGTTACTTGAATTAAATGGCTTTTATCCCGATTCCTGTTGCTCTAGTGTTTTCTGTTAGGAGCAGTGACTGTGCCTAGAGAGTTAAGGGCAGACAAAGCTGTGGCTTGTGCAGGGCTGGATAGGAAGTGGATGAGGATGGCTGCTGGGGTGGTGTTGCCTTGGATGGGGTAAGGAGTTTCAAATCACTTGCCTGTAGTCACTAGCACTTCATGAACAGGAACTTCGAGTAAACTGGCTAATGGACCTAGCTGTGCTGCATCTCTAAGGACAAGACAGCTGCTGCTACTTCAGAGTGCTGTTTCGGAGTCTTTTCCACCAAAACAGGGCTACTGTGCTGGTGATTGTGAGAGCCAAGCAGCAGGTTTTGGGCACTTATGAAGCCTTTGCTGAAAGAACAGGCTTCTAGTAGCTGTAGCAGGCCGAATAAAAATCGTTCACCAATTAAAGGGGTCTGATCTGCATGTTCAATGTCAAGAATGTGCTGGAATTTATTTGGTGTCTATAGTAGAAACAACTGTTAAAGTTTTTTCCGCTGCTCAGGAGAGTGAAAGGGTCTGTCTGAATTTGCTCTGATAAGACAAGGGGAAATTCAAGCCAAAGGTTTGTAATTGCTGCAATGGGGTTCTGAGTTGTCTTATCCTGGGCATAGCTCTGGGTCTGTAATCTCTCTAGTTCAGGGGGAGAGAGGTGTGTGTGTATTTTTTTATCCCTTCCACCCCCGTGCATCCTAGGCATGCATTATCAAGCTCTGATAATAGCTGCAACCAGGGAGGAATGCAGAGGGCTTTTCTCGCTTTAATTATCAGCATCATTTGCATTAGGAAAATGTTTGAGGAATGGTGTTCATGAAGAAAGAGGTTGATTTCTTGTATTAACACTAAATTTTAAGAGTTACTTACCTGCTGCCTCTCTTTCTGTATATGATGTAGGCTTCCTGCTGTCCCTGGAAGACTCTTCAGCTGAGGCTTTTATGGGCCAAGGTCTCTATAATTTATGGAGATTCATTTGTTGGAAAAAGCATGGGGCTGACACGTTTTCATAGTGGATCCGCTTCCAGTGTGTGATCTTTGCTTCCATTTCTTGTATGTGTAAGGAGAAAGCAGAAATGCAGCTGGGTGAACTATATCGTTCTGCCCGCTCTTTCTGAAGCGCATGAGCCCAGGAGAGGAGGGATGGATGCTGTCTTCCCGCAGGAGAGGAGCCAGAGCAGAAAGAGTCGTTTGGACTGCAGATTGATGTATGTGCCAGAGCAAATCTGTGCAAAGGTCTGTTATCTAGACAAAGCCCACTCTGGCCTGCCTGCTTGGATTCATTTCCCACGCGGGTGGTGATGGTGGGGAAGAATGCCGAATGTCCTTTAGTGACCCTTCCTGTTAAACAACGGCAGTACACTTACTTGTTCTGAAAGCTGTTGTTTGGCTTGTTTCCTTCCTGTTTTATTCCTTCATCAAACCAACTTTGTGAGGGCAGTGCTGTAACCCAAGCACAAAGTTGTCATGAAGAAACTGTTTCATCCAGAATAACTTTAGCTTTACACCAAAACCACCACTACCACATTCCTTTCCACTACCACAAACACAACCTTGGTGTCTTGAGAACCTTCCCAGAAAAGATCCTTGTTCCTCTGAAGCTAAATATGTTACGAGAACAGGAAATTTGTATCCTGGTAATGTTTGCTTGCCCTGAGTTGAGTTGTGTGAGTTCCTGCAGTGATGTCTTAAGAGAAGAGGTATCACTGACTTGCATGAGATAATCTCCTGGTTGCAACTCATTTGCAGGATCTTCCTCCTTTAAGTGAGGCTTAAGCTAATATGGTTTACTTCATAATTGGGGCAGACTGATATGTGTGGACAGTTATGGCAAACCAGCTGATAGGTGGTAATTTGCTAAGCAGCTGGAGTTGAATTGTGTCTGCGAGCTTGAAATTCGCTTGCTTTAAAAATAAATAAGCCTTTTGTCCCAGTAAGTTATTAAGCCTTCCTTCCCAGTACTCTAAATCAGAGTGACACAAATGCTTCTAATGGGAAGATAAATGAAGATAGATTGTTCATAGATATTTCACAGCATAGAGAAGAGGGCATGGAAAATGGATCCAGATGAACTGCGGCCATGGGCAAGTAGTCAATGGAAGCTCTTCGTGTCCTGCTTTTAAAAACGTGATGAAACCGTCTGTATTTCATGTCCAGAGAAGACGTGTCTCCTGGCATAGCAGTGGTAGCCTCCCATTCCTCTTGCAGGAGCCACTGGAGAGCCACTTGTCTGGATGGATTTCTGTTTGCCCATGGCTGGGTGTGAGCTCTTCAAGAGATCTCTAACAGACTTTCATTATTGTACCATAAAGGGAACGTACCTTTTGATAAGGGATGGTGTTCGTTGTATGGATGCTATACAGAGAATTGGTGGCTGTGTGGAGAAGACACAGGTGAATGTTTATAGGTGAATTTTTTTAGTGATTGCTGAGGAGCATGACTACCCCTGCTACCCTTTGTAGAGGCACACGGCTTCCTTGTCTGTGGAAAGTGCTGATGGGACTACGAAGGGTGCAGTTGGGGTAAGCTATGCATTGTATAGCTTGTCTTTTGGCTTTAACTCTATCCTTTCTTGCTTGCTTTCTCTGCAGTGCTGGAATTGCTGTTGGCTTCTATGGGAATGGAGAGACCAGTGACGGCATTCACCGGCTGACGTACTCGCTACGCCATGCAAACCGCACCGTGGCAGGTGTCCAAGACCGGGTAAGCACTAGGGGAGACACGCCAGCAAACGGGGAGGGTGGGAATGAGCAGACTTGCTCAGCACCTCTTCTCTTGAATCTGGCTGTGCCTTCCTCTTTTCTGTTAGTCTTTGGGCTGAGAGATGTGCTAAAACTTCCGTTAATGGAGAGATGCTTTCTTCAGCTCTTCTAAAAATATAAAAGCAAACACAGCTTGTTAAAGGAAGTCTTCTCTTTGCTGGATTTAAAAACAGCTTCTGATCAGCTCTCTTCCACGCCTGGAAGAGGAAGCAGGCCAAAGCAGGCAAGCCTCTTAGTAGAATGTACCATTTTAGTACAATCAGTTGTTGCTGTGCTGTCTCTCTTTTCATAGTATTCTGCTGCAAAATGTGTACATCTGTTGAAGTCTCAGCTGAGGTGCCATTGTTGGACTACTTGCAAACAATCTATGTTATAGATGCTTATAAGTTGCTTTTGAAGGTTAAGCAGTCTGAGCCTCTTAAGATAGAGGACTGGTAATCTGGAAGCTGTCTGTAACTTGATAGTAAGGATGAATCCTCTCTTACTTCCTTGACTTCATGTCCTTCAATTATTTCTCTTTTAATTTTTTTCCCTTTTTCTTTTCCATACTATAGGTACTAGATACAGCGGTGGCCCTGAACCAAACAGTGGAACCAAACTTGCTCATCCTGGAGGAGATGTTCACAAAGCAGAAGGACTACCTGAATGTTATCCAGAAAATGCAAGGTCTTTTGGATGATCTAGTCAGGCAAACAACAGAGATCCCCTTTTGGAAGAATGAAGAGCTGTCTCTAGAGGAGCTGGCAATTCAGATCGACCTCTATGACTGGTACAGGTGTGTAGCGTGCTGTAGTGTAGTGACTGTAGCATCTGTGTTGGCCTATTTTGCAACAATGATGTGCGTGTTCTGGGTGGCTGAGCCAAAAGCTCTTTATATTACTGCAGGTGCTCTTGGCCCACCCAGCTGATTCGTTCCTTGCAGCAAAATTACGTTTAGTTTAAATCAAAATGCATGACAACAACTTTTTTTCTTAACTGTGCTCATTACCAGCTGAAGAGAAATTTATTCTCAATGTACAAAATCTGTAGCTTGTGTTCTACCACAGGAGTAAAACCAACCTCGGAGGTAGCTGCTGTTGTGTCTTAATAAGTGCTTTGTAGTTGTATGAGACATTAAATAAATAGAGCAGAAAACTGGACTAGTTCTGTAGGTTAACACCACACCCTGACATTCCTTTTTATTAAGAATATTTAATAAAAGATTGCATCAACTGTATTCTGCAGAAGAAAACCTCTGTCCACACAATGTGGAATAAATAACTGAAGCTTTTTCTAACAAATGTCGAGGAAGTTGAAGAAGCTGCAATGCCGCCTCTTTATCTGGAGGTGTCCAGTTGCATATAACTCTACACTAGAACAAGATTGGCAGTCTCATTTCTCAACAACTATGTGTGCTGGGCGTGTTGTGTAAATGCTTTTACCTGCCTTGAATCTGAACTCAGCAAATATCCAGAGCTGACTGGAGATTCATCATTAGTGGTGGCTTTTACTTGAAGAAAAGGAAGAGCTACGTTTTTCCCATGAGTCGCACTAGCTTCTTGATCTATGCCTTTCATACACCAGTTTTCCTTTGTACGCTATGTTTTTGTTTTCTGCAGGTGGCTGGGATACCTGGGCCTGCTCCTGTTCCATGTATTGATATGTTTGCTGGTGCTTTTTGGGCTCATTAGAAACTCCAGGGCCATTCTTATGGGGTAAGTCCTGACCCAGGCACAGTGCATATGGAAGAACATCTGAATGCAAGTGCCTGCCAGTTTAAACCTCAGGACTGTTGTTGGTTGATATCAAAGACCTCTGAGACTGAACATCTTAAATTTGCCTCTCATTGTAGAGAGACTTTATAGAGCATAGGTCTGCGGGTAGGATTAGGGCTATGTATGAGAGATGTTCACAGGAAGGTTCTTGAGCTATAAAATGCAATGGTACTGGTGTCCGTTGCTTCCTCATCAGAGATGAGGAACTCCCCCCTGCCACTGGCTAGCATTGGTAGCCTCCATTTGCTGGGAGATAGTAATGTGAACATCCTCCCTTAAATTTATAGGCTTTAGAAATCTCCCTTCAATTCTCATAGAGTTAAGGCATTTGTTTAATCGGTGATAAGTGTTGCATGTGTATACACAACCTGGTAGCATGCTTTTTGTGTCGTGACCTGCTCTTGTGTACCTTTGACCGTCACACCTGAAGAAATGTTAAACAAGCAATGGTTTGTACCGTTAGGAGAAAGAGTCCTGTTGCCATGGTACTGCAATATTAATACATGTCTATTTCTAAAAAGCACTGCGAATGCTGCCATGCTCAGTCCATGTTTCAAGGAAAAAATATTCCTCTTCCTGTCTTGTAGCTTAGTTTAGCTTGGCGTATTTGGCAAAGATACTGGTATCATCAACATAGTGACAGTTTGACAACTGACATGGCCAAGAGTTTATCCTGGTATATGGTGATGCCGTTGATAATTGAAACACATATTTGGGTTTATTATTTGCCAGATGACTTCATACCTGGCAGGTTGTACAGACAAAAGTCCAAGTGTATGCACAGATGGTAAACCCAGGGTTTAAATTAGAATCTCATTCCCTGTTAGCCAGAAGTTCATATTAAGGCGTTCCCCAAAGGGAGCACATGGCATGAAGAAGCAAGTGTATCACAGCCAAGCGCGATGGTGAAATGCCAGTTTTAGATCTCTTAGCCAAGCAGTCAGTTACTGACCCAGTCATCTTCATTTAAAGTAAAATCACGAATGTCTTACTGATTACCATGCTCAGCTGGAGGCACCAAGCCGTGTTGTCCTTATGTCATAAAACCACAGAACCTTGCTCATCCATGGCTGATAATTTTTGCATCCATTTGGAAAAAGCATAATAAAGTTTTTAGCATCTTATTCCAGAGTGCTGCACAGAGGTCAGTCTGGTAAAGTTCTGTTACTTGTGCAAGATGAGCCACAGATCCATTCACAGAATAGGGATTACTCAGAATTAAAATAAGTTGGTGAAGTAAGGGACAGACATGCATACATCCATACATCTTTCTCTACATATATATTTTTTTAAATAGAGACACATAGATTTATTTTTTTTTTAAAGCTCTAGTCTTCAATTAAACAAATGTAGCAGAAGAGAGAGATGTCCCTTCCTCACAGAGATGCTTGCACTAGGTTTGAATAAAGAATATCTTGGTTATGAACAGGTTTTTGTTTTGTTTTCTTCAGGGTGTGGGTAGGAGGTAGCCTGCTTGTGTTTCAAAGCCTGAAGGAAAAAGCCAGCCTGACAGAGCAAGCCAGCGTCCCTTTACTGTGAAGACAGGGGACCATAAAGTGAAACTGCTTGTTAGTCTGCGTCCCCATACCTAAGGGAGTTGAGGAGCACTTGTGTTGAGGAACGCTTTTGCCTAAATATCTCTAGGACTCATACTGACAGCAAAGGTGAAGAGCTAACATGCCGGTTGGGGAAGTGCAAAAGCCTCTTCCACTGCTGCGTGCTAGCTGAATGTCACTGAGACCACTGCTCTGTCATCCCTCTGCCTTGTCTGCTTGAGAGCAGACACTTCCCGCCATTTCTGTCGGTAATGAGGTCAAGCTGCCAGAACAAAACTTTCAAATCTGTGCAGAGATGGACTCGCTTGGCAGTGGTAGGCACCAAACCATTGCTCTGAACTGTTTGCCTGCAGGTGACTGTCTCTCCTGGGGCTGTGTGGGATGCTTAGGTGCTGTTCAGATGCACACAGCTTGGAACCGAAGTCAGTTGTCCCAACAGGGGCTGAGCGTTCCCTCCCACTGGCTGTAGCTGTGCAGTGCTTACACCTGACAAGCTCATTTATCCCAGAAACAGGAGGGATTTGTTTAATTTTGGATCAGTATCTTTTTGTGAGATATTTTTGATGTGGCATATTTTTCTTTGAATATCTTTGGACTCAGAAAATAAGTCCAGGATGGGAATAGTGAAAGCGATGGGACTGTAGTCATCCATCTGCCAATCTGCCTTCCCTGCAGCCACCCATGTGTCTCTCTGCCTTTGGCTTCCCTGCTAGAAGCAGAGTAAGTCTTTGCTTCCACCCTCTTCTCCCTTCCCCTGCAGTTCCACAGCCAGGTAAAGTGGGAACAAACAACTGGACATAAACTTCTCTGTTGCTGCTGTCCACAAAATATAAAATGGGATGGTTTATCTGAAGATACAGTGGCTGATAATTTCTTGGGTTTGGTAATTGCTTTGGACTCCAAATAATACATCTTGTGAAAGGATCTGCTTGAAATCAGAGCTTCTACATCTGCCATCTGTCTGTCTCCCACAGGGTGTGCTTGCTTGGGGTGTTTGCCCTGATTGTCAGCTGGGGATCCTTGGGTCTGGAGTTGGCTGTCGCTGTGGTAAGTGGCTCTGAGCCAAGTCCCGTTCACCCGTTGCTGCAGGTTTAGCACACATGAGATGAACGCTGCGCTGTGCCTGTTTTATAGAGCATCTTGTTCCAAGTAGCTGTCCTGGCAATTTGCATCTTTGAAAAGTACAGAGCTCCTCCTTCCTCCGTGGCGTGGTGCGGTAGTGAGTGCTCCTGCCCAGCTGCGGTTGTGTAAAGCAGTGTTAGTGGGGATGATGAGAGACTTCAGTATGGGAAACACCTCTATAGTAGAGGGTTCCCTGATGTTGACCTGGCTCAGCTGCTCTTTTGTACTCATGTTCTTTGATCTCCGTTTTCCCTTTTGTCTTGCATCTATCTAGGGCTCCAGTGACTTCTGTATTAACCCTGATGCTTATGTCTCCAAAGTGGTGGAGGAGAATGCAGTGCTTAGTGCCGGTAAGTGCTGGGACTGGCTTTGGCGCGGCGTACTGTGGCGCCAGCTGTCACACAGCAGCGTGGCAGTGGCTGAGAGTTTAAGGCTGGGTTTGGAGCAGGGGAGCTTGCATATAGTGGGGAAAAGCAGATGTGTGTGGAGCTCTGGAAAACCAGCGTTCTTCCCAAAGAAGCATTTATACTCCAGTCAGAAGCGCACATGTACTTATTTTTTTGTCAGAAGAGCCTTCAGAACCTTTCTTCCATCTTGGCCCTTGGATGGAAATAATTGATAAGGTGAAACAACAGAAGTCCCTGGATTATTTTGCTTTAAACGTAGCGCTCTTCAATCTTGTTCTCCTCTAAGTGACAGAGCTGTGGTGATAGCAGTGTGCAGTTTGAGTTGTCATTTTTAAAACTTGCTCTTGGCTCTGCATTCCTGAATCTAGAATACTTATCTTTGTATCTGCTATGAACAAATATATATTTTTTTTTTCCTCTTAATAGTGGCTAAAAATAGTAGTCTCTTTAAAGCTAATTTAAAAGGTAAATAAATGGAAACAACCACAAAGAGAAGCATGAATTTCTCTTTCCATTATAAATGTAGTATTTTGACTGCTTTGTTTATCCTGTTCCATTTAAAGCACTATGCCTGTGTCACAGGGGCATCCAGCTGAAGCACCAGTGGATTTTTTTGTTTGTTGCTCCTAATTTAGACTGAAGTGGTTGGTGAGATGAGGGTTGCCTCTAACTTGGACCTCATGGGGGGGGAAGAGTGGCTTTCAGAACTGTGACTTAACAAAAACATGGTTGGGCACCTGCCAGCAGAGAATATCATAAACATTAAAAAGGAAAGATATTTTTCAGGGCTGAGTTTGCTGCTTAACTTTTCTCCCCTGATAGTCTCTGTATAGTTCTGTGTATGATAAAACACAAATAAGCAATGACACTGATTTGTAAAAGGAGCCGCATGTTTTTCTTGGTTCTTGTTTGCTGGAATCAGAGAATCTTTGCCTTATGTACATAAGACCTAATGTATGGCCGTGTGCTTAGCCAAATGCTGCCTCTTACTGTGCAACTGACTGACTAATGGGTAATTAGGTATGTAGCTGTGGGTAAGGATGCAGGGATTAGAAGCAATAAGAAATGTTTGTCTGGAGGCAGAATGTAGTATAAAAGAGTATGTGCAGGTTGATATTGCCACCCTACAGCTTATTTTTGGAACACCTTATTTATTGATTTCCTGGGAAGGAGAGGATAGAGCCAGGCAACTCTTTGTTACAAAGAAATGCAATAAGGGAAGAGAATGAGTGTTTAACACCACACAAGATGAAAATCCTCTCTTGGGTGTGGAGGTGATGAAGATGTAGCTTCAGGTACCAAGCTAGTTTCTTAGTTGTTCAAGGAGGCAAACAGGTCAGTGAGGCCAAGGGGAAACATCAGACGCCGATGCCAGCTGTGTGCTGTAATAATTTGGTAACCCAAATCAGCTCTGGATTACAGTTAGATTGACCCTGCGGAAACTGAAGAAATGCCCCGTTGTGCTACTTCTCCATTTCGGTTGTCCTTGCCTGCTTGGCTCCTGCAGTTTTTCATTAGTCTGTATCATTCGTTTTGAGGCTAATGGTGAGTGCAGGACTGCCATTCCTGTCCCTCCTCCCACTCCCCCCGGCAGGGACAGTCAGCTCCCCCTGGTGAAATCAGGCTCTGTTCTGGCAGCACCGCCAGCTATAACAGTTGTTAAGGCTCCATAAATAACAGTGAATGGATCTAAGCGAAATGCTGAAGAGGAGGAAGAGCAGGTGTTGACACAGGCTTGAGTTGGAAGGGTGGCCCCTTCCGTGGGTTGCTGGTGTGTCAGCTCCCTGCTGTTAGGCAGCCGTTGAGCGTTCGTGAGCGCCTTTTTCCTTTTTTTCAGAAGGAAATCAGTCTAACTTCTGAGCCTGCCATTGCACTAGGCAGCTGGTTGGGAGATGATTGAGTGTTCCACCTTCCCATACGGATTTTCATTGCTGTGTCATAGTTTATGATCAGGAAGCTACAGAAATAGTTCTTAGTCCCGACACTGGGGACTGTCCTGGGCACCTGAGCAGGAAGGAAATCACAACATGAGGATTGCAGTGTGGAACTGTTCCATGACACTTTAATCCCAATAATGACTCCTTAGAAACATCTGAAAAAAAAGTCTGAAATAAGTATTGGTATCCCTCAACATGGTTGGCTGTAAGTTGTAGCAGCTGCTTTGTGATCGGTTGAGCGACGAGCTCACGGAGACAGGGCAAGCAGGTGGGAGCCAGCATCAATGCTCTCCCCTCGGAGGAAGATGCCCTGTTTGAAGGCTCCCAGTCCTAGTGCACAGACTCTTCACGCTCTCTAGTGTGCTGCCTCTGCTCTATGGGTGATGCTCTCAGTTAACAGCAGCATAGACAGATGAGGCAGAAACTTTTTGCTCCAGCTAGTTTCACCAGAGCGTATCTGACCATGAGTTTTTCAGTCCAGAGAAGAGATGGTGTGAGTGGATGAAGGGGCTCAGGTGGTCCGTGGAAGAAGAATCCTTTGGGAGTTACCATATATGTAGGAATCACGTTTACTGTAGGAATCACTTGAGCTGAAGTTGGGCTGAGAGGGCATTCGTGTGTTCAGTCTTGCCTAGGTGTCTGTGTTTGGCCAGTGCTGGGGTACGGCATACTGGGCTAAGTGCTGCCATCTCTAAGGGTATAAGAACCAACAAGTAATCTTAAGAAGCTTTGTCGTGCTAGGTCAATTTTTCCCTTGAATCACTACTTTTAGTTGTTTTTAAATATAGTGAGTTGTAATATTCCCAGCCCTACGCTCTGGCATTCAAACTAGGACTGAGTCATCTAGGTTTGCATATTTGCAACACTTTCTTGTTGGTGGTGGTTATAGTAGTTTTCACAGAAAAAGAACTATGTTGGATACTGGGCAACTAGTACGTTAATATTCCTATTTATTAATTGCTGTTTGCAAATCTAAATAGAATTAATGGAGCTGAGAATAATCTGATTAAGTGCATTATTATTGTTGTCATGTTTTTAGCTGGAGAGATGATGATGTTGTTTTGTAGATACAATATGCTGTTTTAATAAAAGGAGGGGGAATGGGGGGCAAAGAGCCTTAGTGCAGATATCTTGGAGGAGAGATTTAAATCACTTTGCAGAAGAGGCTGATACGTGTGCCTAACACCCAGTGTTCATTAATTGAGATAAAGCCAATGGAGATGAACAGTGGCTGTGTAATCAACTCCTGCTGCTAGTAAAAAGACTTGGTGCAGCCAAGATGTTTATTTTCGAAGCAGGAGGCCATCTTCTAGTCTCATTCTTTTTCATTGATATTATGTTATTATCAGATGACTTATTGCATAAAATTAAATAAAAAGGCACAATCTGTCTAAACAAGAACAGCTTTTTCCAGGTTCTCTGACTAGAAATCTGCTCAGTGAACAGCCACTCACTTCATCCAAAGGAACTGTAAACCTCAGGGGATGAATAGTGGAGCCTTTTACCTGCGGTTTAGCTGAGTCGGTGAGGCTGGATGCTGGGACTTAGCTGCTCAGATATCAGCATCAAGCATTCTTGTCGCACACAGCCTCCTAATTGGCCTCTCACTGATTCATCTTAGAAGCCCAGATCTGAATTAACCGGAGGATGGACACCACCACCACCTCCTTTTCTTCTCTAGAAGTAAGATAGGGACAAAACCTCATGCGAGACATGTGGTGGTTGCACAGTTATTACTCGGGCTCAGCAGGCACTGCAGAGAAGAGTTTGCCCAAAGAAGGGCTCTCAAGAATCCGCTGAGCTGATGTTGGTGTTGAGAAGCTGTTTTGCTGCGTGGTTTTGTTGGACTCCTGATTAGCAGAAAGCTCTGAGCGGAGGGCACGTGGGATGGCTACAAGCTCTTTGCTGAAGGCTTACAATGACTGATTTCACCAACGCAAGAGTAGCATATATGAGAAATATGAATGTTATGCAGATACTTCCCTCTGTTGTCAGACTGTTGCCTTAGGGAAACAAAGCTCCTGGTAGAGAACATGTTATCTGGGCAGGAAAATGCGGCTAAAAGAGTCGTCTTCCTTTGACATTACAGGTGATACTCTTCAACCTTCTCTGATGATTGAAGCCATAGAGACAGTCTCATCTGGGTGTATATGTAAAAATGCAAGCTGCTTAAAGAATGCTCAAGTAGAGATGAAGAAGAGTTAGAAAAACTGTTCTAGGTGTGGGGATTTTTTTTTTTAAACTAGGATTTTTTTTCTAATGGCTCGTTACCCTACAGACCTTCTCGCTGCCTTTCGGCGAGTGCATAATCCTATTTTTGCATTTCAACTGGGCTTTGAAGTGAATTGTAGTCTCCATGGTTGCAGAAGCAATAAGTAATTCTAGCAGCTGAAGCTGTCTTTAGTAGGCAGTTCTACTTTCCTTTCTAGGAAAAACAGACTTTGCAAAAATAAAGCGTTTTGGGTAGTTTCCTTCCTTGCTTTCTGCTCCCACACTGCCTGTGCACAAAGAGTGGGTCAGGAGGATCGCTGCTAGCAACAGCAGGCATAGGCAGCTGCAGATGTAACCCTGCCTAGCCTTTCTCCTGTAAAATAGGTCACCTAAAGGCCAGCTTCAAAAATCAGATGCAACCTTCAGGAATTTTCCTTGGGAGGAAAATGCATCGGAAAGATAATTATAGAAAGAAATTGCCTGGAGCTGTTAGCAGAGTGCAAATGATGGGTTAGTATAGCTGTTTTCTGAACACAAATGTGAGACTCTGTGTTGTACAGGACAGCCTCTACCAGGTTTAAAACTGGTGAAGGTGCTTCCTGTTCTTTCCCAGCCTGGTGGTATGGAGGCAAGGATCATGCTCCTCTTAATTTACAGGCTTTGCAGCACGGAATCACTTTAAAGCAGCTTCACTGCATATCGTTGCTTTAGCTTTAAAGCACCACAGCTATTAGCACTCTGAGTTCAGAGCAGGGGAAAGCTGCTCCTGCTGGCTTTGCCATTTTGGAAAGCGCTTTTTATGTGCAGTGTCACACTAGTAAGCTGCAAAACCACTGCTGCCACAGCGAAGCCTTGTTGATCCTGCCTTGCAGGGTGATGCAGGGGAAGCACTTATTTCACTGTGCTGCTTTTTGCTCCACTTGTAACCCGCAATCTTTATCCTGGGCTTACAAGCTGCAAACTATGACAGGAATATCAAGAACTCTCATCTGGAATCTGCCCACCAGGGATGATCCAGAAGGCCCTGAAGAAATGTTTCTGGAGCTATGTATTAGCGGTATGTCATGCAACTTAATGCACCTACAGAGGCGATGAAAACTTGATACCACCGTGGGAGCCTAAGAGAAACTTTTAGTGGTTTGTTGGGTTAAAATACATAACTGACAAGATCACAGCTCCTTTAGGTCACTGGGTGTGATGCTGTGGATTGCTGTCACTATGCTGTTCTCTCACACAGGTGCGTTTTAATCCATTTTTCCGTAGCCATTGAGTATGATTTATGAGCCTGAGAGGAGCAGTCCTTTCCTTGGCTCAGCAGTTGTGGACAGTCATTTGTGTGGTCTGCCCAAAGTAAGGCACACAAAACAGTTCTTGCTGCCCTCCTGTCTGCCCAAATTTTGCTAATTGCTGTTTAGAGGCTTGGCTGGGGAGATGTAAGCCATTCCAGAGAAGGAGTTGGGTGGGGGGGGAGATGGAGCAGCTGGCAGAAGCTGCCCCCAAAGTGGGCTAATGAATTATAAATAACAGCTGTCAGGTTGCATTGCCAGTGTGCAGGAACTGACAGTCTGCGTTGTACCACTTGGTCTCCAGTGAGCTGGCTTGACAAAAGGTGCCTTCAATATTTATGGGGAGTGTGGCAGAGTCAGGTTACAGTCAGGTCTGCTTCCTTCACAGCTCCACTTGCTTCTTGTGCCTTTTACTGATTCCTGAGTTGGGACTGATTAGAATACCTTTGCAGTCTGGAATATGCATTACTGAAAGTCACAGACAGAAGATTAAAAGGAATGGAGAAAAGGGTGCTAGTGGGGAGGGAAATGCAGAGTGTATGTGTGTTTTGGGCTTTTGTTGTCTTTTCTGAGCCATCTTCACCCTTGATTTCGTGGAGCCTGCGCGCTCCCGTTCTTCTGAAGAGGAACTGTAAACATTTGAGAAATAATCTAAAGGTGTTTGGATGATCACATCTTTCAGAGCTCCCTCCCTCGATAGCATTACTGAGAACAGCAGAGGAAAGCCCAATATTTGTAACTTGTTCATGACAGCACTTGGTGCAGTATTATGGAGGGCTCATGAGGGCACCGAGCTGGTTTCATACACATCCGAATGAGGTGAGATAAAACCGTGTCTTCAAGCCTGGAAACAAGTGATGCTGCTATCAGAGTGCTTTAACAGTGTTATCTGGAACTTTACAAGTACATCCTCACTGTACTGTGATTACTGGTAGAGCTGCTCAGTATGAAGACTAACTTTTGGTGGGATGTTACCAGCAAATGATCTGAGGTCCCTTGAGCAGATAACATGTTGCTGTTATCCTAATATACGGTAAGAGCTTTCTTTCCCGATGAAGTCTACAGTGTTGACTCAATACTGAAAAAACATATTTCTTCATAAGTTGAAAGAAGGATGGAAAACAAATGGCGTGCACTTTTTTAGTTAAAGTCTAATTAAAGCCTTCTAAGTAAAATCTAACTGCATGCAAGTGACACCTATCAAAAAACAGACTATAACTTGTTTATCACTAATATATGCCAGAAAGACAAGAACTTGTTGTCTTCCATCCATTTTCTCACTTGCTTTCAAAGTGATGCCATCTTTAGGAAATGATATTTCTGAAGGTTTTGATTTGCTTGAATTAGGAGGGCTTTCTTATCTTCTTCTGCAGAACACTACCGAAAAGCAGTCTCTCCTTGAACATGACAGAAGAATCCTCAGTTGTGAAGATGCCTTTTTCCCTCTTTTGTTCATTTAAACACTTGAACTTTTACATTTAGGAAGTGGTATATTCAGCATTGTGTAGTAGCACAGGGATGTGTATATGCATTTCCTTTGGCCCAGCAGCGTGCTTTCACAGGTATTTTTGATAGCAGCCTGTGTTTATATCACCCCTACTACCTCTCCTGCCCTGATATTTTGTGGCTTTGCAGTGACCTAGCTGGTGAACTGAATTGACTGAAAGTTGAGTTGTCTCTTTGCTACATGCCCTAAACAGAAGTCCATGGTTGCTTTCAGTGACTGCAGAATAACATTATGGCACTTGGAAGTTGCAGAAATTAAACATCTAGTTGGATTTATCCTAGACTGATGTCTTGTCTTATGTCTATACTGTGGATAGTGCTGACTTCTGAATAAAACAACAACAAAGGCAGCTTACATCCCTTTTTCTAGTGCCATCCACGTACTGTAATCCTACATGGAGAGAGGGAAGTAATTCCATTTATATTGCGTTTTCATTTTGCGTACTGCTTTCAGAACTTAACACCTCCCTTGTGGCAGTTGTAAAATACTGCAAAGCTGGAACAAGGTATCTAGCATGAGTTTCTTCTCTTTTGTCTTTGTAGATACTCTCCGCTACTACATGACCTGTAGTGCTGGATACCCCAACCCTTTCCAGCAGGTAAGTGTAAGCATCCTGCCTCCCTTCACCCCTTCTCAGCATCCTGCAGGGTATCACTTAAAGGCTTTTGATGCCAGCATGCAGCAAGTTGCAAGGTGTTAGCTTTAGGGAGCACTCCACCTGTTGGTAAAGCTTTGGTAGCTACATTCCAGCTGTGCAAGAGATGGCATTGTGATTTAGCGAGCAGTTTTTTCCAACTTCATCACTACCTGCATAGCTTCAGGTCCAGGGTGCCCTCTTAGAAGGGCCCATGTGTGATGTGGTGAGGACCATGGCTTTGTTCGTGGTACCTCTGTTTACACAGCACCATTCTAAGATCAGCATCATGGATATAGAGCACCCGCAATTAATGGCAGGGTGGGAAACTACATACTTCCTGCTTTGAATATCTTCTTGCAGGTTCTTTTGGGCTAAACAGTGGCATCGTTCCACTCCCAGAATGCAGCCACTTCTGTGGGTGAGGGAGTGATTCTCCCATATGCCTCTTAAATCCCTTGGATGTTTGTATCCTGAAGTGTAAATGTGAGTCACTATTCTTTTGTGTGGGGGCTGAGGAACAGCACCTGGGCCCATCCCAAACTTTGTCTTATGCATCAGAGGCCAGAATGAACCCACACCACCCACTATTTGGCAGACGCCAGCTGCTTCACCATTTATATTTAGGATTTTTTAAGTCCTGTCTTCCTCTGTTTTAAAGGGTGGGGTAAGAACACTTCAAGCTGTGGTATGATGCACCGTTGCCATCTGTTGCGTTTCTGGTTGCTCAGTGTACTCTGACATGCTATTGCATGTGAAATTCCCATGGATGCTTTAATGGGATATGAAGGCTGCACCCCAGTACAAACAACTTCTGGTGTTAACATTAAGTCTTTCTCAGCCATCTGATTTAATAGAAAAAAAAAAATCCAGCTGTGCTCTGTGGTGAAAACATGAATGCATTGTCTTTTTCTCCTTCTGCTCTATCCTGTAGTTGGCCCTAGCTGCGTGTATGTGTTTTGTGTGTGTGTTGGGTTTTTTCTTTCCTTTTCTTTTGGTTCTTCCCTTTCCCTCTTTTTGTCTGTACTTCTTCCAGAATGGTGAAAGTCAAACTTAACCCTATCGCAGTTGCACCCATATCAGTTGAGACATCTTTAACTTGTACCATTCACACAGATGATGCTTCAATATTTGAGAAGTATGATTTAAGTCTTTTTCGAGGAGTTCCATTGGTTGATGTGTCCTGAATTGCTGAAACATTGCATGTGTTGTGTTGAGCAGAAGCTGTCAGGAAGTCACAAGGCTCTGGTGGAAATGCAAGATGATGTTATGGAACTCATGAGGTCAGCAAGCAGAGAGCACCCCGCCTCCAAGGTAACTCTCCAAGTTTGCTCTCCCTGTGCTTTCTGGCTTCCCTCATCCTTGTACAAAGCCTGAGATCAGCTCCCACTAAGCCGTTTCCTTGCCGTAATTGCTAGCTTGTTGCTTACAGGAGTATCTTACTCGGATCCAGGAGGTTTTAAACTCAACGGAGATCAACTTGCAGCAACTGACAGCTTTAGTAGACTGCCGGAGTCTGCATTTGGTGAGTACTTGGTAATGGAGTTGTAGCTAAGAAAGAACAAAGGGGACATAGAACCTGTAGCCTACTGATTATTTTGGAATTTCAAACTGCTGGTGTACCAAAACAGTTTGAGAGCTTTTACTGATTGACTCCAGGAGAAAGGAGAATGGGAATTTGGATCAAGTTAGCTTTGTGCTTAAAGATCACTGTAGGAAACTAGATAACATGCCTTTATACATATACAAGCTGCAGCCCTAAGGTTTCAGGGACCTTCATTTTTTTTTCTATAGCTCATATGTTGTTGCCTTTCCTATGGAATGCCTTATAGCTGCAGTATAGCATAGCCTGACTGTTTCCCTAGCTGCAGGTCCAAAGGTAGAGAAAAGGGATAGTCTATGCTTGTGTTCCTGGGCAATGGGACATAGTGAAGGAGCTGAGTGGCTTAACAAAAAATGTGATGTTTTAAGTTGGGTGGATAAGTTTGTCTTGGCTTTTTCCTTTTTTTTTCTTTTAAACTCATATTTTGTGGGGTTGAAAATATTCCCACGTCTATATCTGAGTTGGGCTTTATGAGAGGAAACAAGGGTTAAGTTCAGTTATGAAAAACACTCGAGGTCTCCAAAACTAAAATAGAAGTATGGTCTGGAAAAGGGACTACAGTCTTACAAGTTGTTTCAGAGAACATAGGCCAGGGGAAGGGCTTTTGAATTAGAGCTCAATGTTAACTCTGTAGTGATCAGGAAACTCTGCTCATTTCTCTCTCCAGGATTACGTCCAGGCTTTGACGGGCTTTTGCTATGATGGAGTGGAAGGCCTCATCTACCTGGTTCTCTTCTCCTTTGTCACAGCCCTCATGTTCAGTTCCATTGTGTGCAGCGTCCCACACACTTGGCAGCAAAAGAGGTATAGAGAGGGTTTAGATCCTGTGGAGTTCTTTCCTAATGAAGACTGGCTATTGGATTTGTGCCCATGAGCATATGGAGCTCTTTCCCATATAATCCCAAGAGTGTGAGGGATGAAGCTTTAGAAGCGCAGGTCCAACAGAAAAAAAACTATTGGCTTTTGTGGTTAATATTTACATCTGAACCTTATTGTACTGGAATACTATGTGTGCAGAGTATTCAATACACCGTAGGACTCTAAGTCAGAGATGAGTGATTATAGCTGCAAAGTGCCTGTTCTCTCGCATTGCTTTGAGGCATTTGTTCTAGTATGGGGAAGAGAACTGAAATGAGAAGCAGTTCACAGTTGCCTTTCTTGGCTTTGCTCACACTGGGGTGACTGACTTGCATACCAGACACAAACCTGGAGCTGTCTTGTTGGCAAAAGCATGGGCAGATGAGATATTGCAAACGGGTGACAATCGTCTAACAGCAAGTTGTTTGGAACTGCTATTAATGGTGGTAACCAGGCTGATCAGTAAGTCTTGAGCAGACCTCTGCAGGGCTTCACTGACTGGCTCCTGTACCACATGCAGCTATTAAAATAGCTTTGAGTTTTCTGTTCTTGCAGAAGAAGAGTAGACTGCGCAGCAATTTCTCTTCTGGGATCCTGAAACATGGTTTTTGTGGTCTAAGTCCAGGCTCAAGGTTTGAAGTAACATGGAACATGCTAAACAATAGCAGGAAGCCAGAACCTGCCAGGCCTGCCGTGCCCACGGAGAAAGCCTTGGGAAATGCGTCAGAATAGCACTTAAGAAAATAGCTGGTTTCCTTACCTCTTCCACGTGCAGCTGCAGAGGCATTATTGAGAAGAGAGTGATAGTCTGCCTGTTTGAAGGAGAAAGATTTACACAGTGGTATCCCTTGTGCTGCCTTCCACGTGGGCTGCTGCCTGCCCTGCCAACCCCCAGCAAGGCTCAAGCTGCTGCTGTGAACTGAAGGATTCCCTCTTGCATTCCCTGGAGCACCATTTCTTCCTCTGCCTCCCTCTGGGAGGTGGAGGATGTCATACTTCATTGCCTGTAAGAGACTGTGCAGGCTATAATTCCCTGAATAAATCTTCAGTGCCACCTCGTGGTGCAGAACCTGCAGGAGATGTTTGGGATGTTCTAGCCATGTCCATGCTGTCTCCCTCAGCCACAAAGTGCTTCCTGTAGAACCTTTTACTAACTCTGTAAAGTGTTGCTAAAACATATTTCAGACCTTGGTGCTTTGTCCCATAATTGGAGAGATAAAATAACAGCATATGTTACATAGGAGGGACAAGAGAATACTATGAGAAAGGGAGAAGGAACCAGTTGGCAAACAGCTCTGCTCTGCATTAAAATTTATTTTAGATCTTGACATTTTTGAGAGAATAAAGCCTTTAGAAACAAATGTTGCAACTTAGTCTCTGTAAGGACTTCAGAGATTTTGCTAGGAGCTGAAGCAGACCCTTTGTAACCAGAATGGGAGTTCAGAGAAGTCTGCAGAGGCTTATCCTTAAAAGCTCTTTGGACACAGCTACAATAAATGGAAGGACACATTGCAGCCTTGAAGGATGCTTTCTGTAGGGTGTATGGCACTACATCCTCACTGCCTCTCTTTTTTCTTTTCTCCTTTTTTTTTTTTTTATAAAATGGTGTGTATTTCAGGTGGTGTGTCCATCCTTTGGTTGTATGCCTGGGCAGTTGCAGAACTGTGCTGTCTGCCAAGCCCTGGGAGGAGGCTGGAGGGGATCACGCAGTGTAGAAGTCCAGATGGTATCTGTGGGAGATCTGAGTCACTGTGGTGTAGGATGTGTTTGACACTGCCACCCTGAGGCATCCCAAATGGGTATAAATGTGGAGGTGTGGAAGATGGTTGGGAGGTTCCTAGGATTACCATGGCTTCCTGCAAACCTCACATGTGGGGTGATTGTAGGGTTCTAGGAGGAACTTTTTCTCCTTCTTGCAGAAGCTCAGATGATGATGGGGAAGAAGAATCAGCTGCTCAAGGGAGTAGACAAACACACGATAATCTTTACAGAGTGCACATGCCCAGCCTCTATAGCTGTGGGAGTAGTTATGGCAGTGAGACCAGCATTCCAGCAGCAGCACACACAGTCAGCAATGCTCCCGTCACAGAGTACATGTGAGTATCCCGACAAGAAGGCTGTATTGCAACTTGTGCAGGTTGCCTCACTCTGATTTCTGTTCTTGCCAAGAGCTGCGAGGCTGGCACATTTGACGAAGCAGTAGAAAGTGATGAAAGATTTTGTCCGAAGTGCCAAAAGGCATGTTTTCTGATTGGCATCTGCTGGGAGAAAGGAACAGCTTAAAAATTCTGCAGTCAAAGGAGTTATATGAGGCAGCATGCTCCAAAATGTGAACAGCTTTGTCCTGCAGGATTTAGAAATCGATCTAGAGAAAAGAAGCAGGAAAGTATTGTCTGGGCTCCTTGTTACACAATGATTCTGATGACCAGAGGAGTTAATTCTTCAGACAGAGCAGTCCTGCCAAAAGATTTTAAACCTCCTGTGAGACCGAGAGCCAAGATAAAACCTGCAGGCTCTGTCCTTCCACAATATTTGCAGTCAGCTCTGACGTGTTGTGGTTTAGGGCTACCTAGTCCAGGTGGCATCTTCAGAACGGTCTCCAGAAGTGCCTAACCCTGATCACACTTGAACTACCTTCAGGGCCTATCTTTTTTAGGCTGGCACATTGTTTCATTCTTCCCTATAGACTTTGTCCTCATGTTATCTCCCTTTCTGCAGCTTGGCAGTTCCAATGCTGCAGGGAGGCAGATTTTCACACGGACCTATTTTTAAATCAATTGACGTGATTCAGCGTGGGCCCTTCTGAGTAAGAGTGTAAAGATAGTGCTTAATCTGAGGAAAATAATGGTAGTTTTGTGCCCATGTCTGAGAAAGGAGATCCATCTGGTCTATAAGGAAAGCTTTGAGGGAGACTGACCTGATACAGTAATTCTGGGGGGTGCGTATGCTCTGTCCTCTCTCACCATCAGAGATCTTCCCCAGATAAGCATGGCACGTCCCCCCTATTACCATGTGTGTCTTCCTTTCCTAGGAGCCAGAATGCAAATTTCCAGAACCCCCGTTGTGAGAATACCCCGCTCATTGGCCGGGAGTCCCCACCTCCCTCAGTAAGTCTCTCTTTACTGCTCCTCTCTGCTTCAGCAACTTTGGGGAATACACATTTACCACTCTTGTATACTCTCAAGGGAGCTGACTGTGCAGCCAAACACAGGATCTGGCCCATAAATGGCAGCAATTTGAATAGACAAACCATGTCTCACCTGCCATGGAGAAAAAGTAGCAGGGTTGCTATGCTACTTTGGACATTGGACATAAAAAGAATAAGACTCCATCTGTTAACACTGGTAGTCCTATGGGCCCAGTCCTGCCACCACTGAAGTGCAT